AATCAAAAATATGACTTTTTTTTATTTTGTCTATACTTCAAACAGGAAAACCTTTTTACATACATGAAAAATCCTTCTTTGCATAATACATTGCATTTTGATATTTATTTGAATTGTATTTATTTAAATGTTAAATATTTGTATATTCGATATGGTTGTAATAATTTAGATTTTTATTTCCTTGTCAAATATCCCCCAAATCCAAACTTGTATCCCCATCCCCATAATCATGTTGTAATAATTTAGGACTTTAAATTCTCGCACATTTAAAAATTTCCAAATTATGCCATGATAGACCTAGGGTTTGTATGCAAAAACAATCAACAAATAGCTTGACTTAATCCAAGATAAACATGCATGAAAAAACAAACACAATGCACACTTGCACCCTTAGGGTTACATCCACTTGTTGCCTTCAAAAATAGGCCATGTTTGCATGTCAAGTACTTTGGCAAAACAAAACAAAACAAAAACAAACAAAATGATCATAGTCCCTAGGGATGGCAACGGGTCGGGTCGGGTGCGGGTTTCACACTACCCACACCCGCACCCGAAATCATCACCCGAACCCGAACCCGAACCTGAAGGCTATTCGGGTGACAAAATCACACCCGCGCCCGCACCCGTTGGGTTCGGGTTTTTTCACCCAAACGTGAACCCGAAGGCTATTCGAGTGACAAAATCACACCCGCGCCCGCACCCGTTGGGTTCGGGTTTTTTCACCCAAACCCAAACCCGTACCAAAAATAAAAAAAAATTACAATTAAAATAAGGTCTCTTTACATTGTCTTCAAGAAAATGCAATCACAATTATCTTAACATAGTCTTCAACATCTTAACATTACAATTAAAATTAAATTCTACAATCAAATTACAACTTTTCAACAACAACAAGCTAATATATTACAACTTTCTTGTGTAAGATTAGATGTTCCTTCCGGCTCCGGAGTTGTGTTCACTTGATCTATTTTACCTATTACAAAGAAAATATATTTCACATGTTAAGAAACACTAATAGATATTATCATCATAATTTTAAATTGTAATAACAAACATGTGAAACTTAAAACATATAAAACATGTAACTTAATTCTTGGTAATGCTGAACTTTTAAATTGTAATAAGAAGAATCCTTTAGACCACTTCTTGATACATACAGAGATGTAATAGCTTACAACACAGATAACATATCGCTTTTAAATTATAATAATTTTAACATGCCATATTCTTGATAATTTATCATGTTTGCAACTGGAATAAAACTGCCTATAATAATGTTTGTCTACTAACTTTCAGCATGCTTGCATGCGCGTTAAATATCATGTTTTTGAACTGTCTAGAAACATAAGCACAACACTAAAAGAATTGTCTAATATCAAAAGCATTAGTGCAAATTAGTCGGGGCAACAATGGTGGAAGATAGAAACAATAATACTCACCATGTTAACATATAGAAACAACAACTTCTAATCTTCAAAATGGAAACCCAAACAACCTTCCATCAACTCAGTTGTATTAACAAATAAATTGATGTTAAATAAAACACTAAAGCTTAAAACTTCTACACCAAATGAAGTACAAAATACCTTCATCGTCTGACTCCATTTCATTCAACACAGTAGCAATTTCTTCAGCAACTCTAAAAATTCCTATATATATTATATAACATAGTAATATATTATTTTCCAATGACATGCCAAAGTAGTAATACATTATATAACAAAAAAATTAAGGTAGAAAGTAAAAATAATTTGACAATGACATACCGTTATTCTCAACAGCCCATAGCCAACTCCTAGCACACATCAAAGCCTCTACGATAGTCCTGTTAAGTCGGCTACGATGAGGACTCAATATTCTACCACTATTACTGAAGGCCGATTCAGAAGCTACTGTAGAGATAGGAATAGCTAACACATCTCTTGCAATTGCTTGAAGTGTTGGATACACAACTCCATTTACCTTCCACCAATTCAAAATGTCAAATTCTGGAGTATTTTTTATAACTGGCTCTTTCAAATAATGATCTAACTCATACTTAACACTTGAACTTGAGTCTTCGGCAACGACAATTGTCTCAACGTATGCATCAAATTCAGCCTCGTCATCAATAATAGCAGTTGTACCAATGGATGGAGCAGTAGGTTGTGCATCTCTAAGTTTAATCTGTTGATAATCATTGAGCAAATCATAACACATGTCTTTGATTCTACTAACTTGTGCACTTGATTCTTCTCCATACAACTTAGGAAACCAGAAATTAAGTACAACCATCTTCTTCCTAGGATCCAAAACTGCAGTAACTCCCATCATATCATGAACACCACTCCAATAATTTTGAAATTTTTCCATCATTCTTGTGGCCATCATCTCAATAATTGAATTGGAGGACTTCTTCCATTCCTCTATTGCCAACTTAATCTTACAAATCTTAGGAAAGTACAAGTTGGCAGTTGGATATTTTGTACCAGAAATCAACTCAGTTACTTCATTAAATAATTTTAAGCACCCACAAACATCTTTAGCAAATTGCCATTGTGAATTAGTTGGAAGACAAGTGTACAAAGACTCACGTTGCTTCAACCGAATAAATACATCCTTGTACTCTATGGCAATATCAAGCATCTTATATGTGCTATTCCATCTTGTTGGACAATCTAGAGCTAACTTTCTAGTGCAAATAATTCTCAATTGTCTAGCGGTATCTTCAAATTTTTCATACCTTTTAGGTGTAGCACTCCAAAATCCTACACTATCCCGAATATTTTCTATGCCATCCTTAATCACTTGTAGCCCCTCCTGAACAATTAAATTTAGGATGTGCGCATAACAACGCATATGTAACAAAGACCCATCCCTTATTAAACATTCCAACGACAACTTATCCTTAATTTTCCTAATCATTGAGTCATTTGTGCTTCAATTATCTAAAGTAATCGTAGAAAGCTTTGAATCAATGTTCCAGTCCATTAAACAATTAACAAGTGCTTCAGCAAGTCTTTCACTAGTGTGAGGGGCTGGAACATAAATGAACCTAACATAATATTTACAAAAAACAAGTCTTTCACTTATTGTCATTAAGAATAAAAAAAACGATACAATTAAGTTATAAAATATAAACATTGTTACCTCAAGATTGGACTCTGTAAAGTCCACGAGCCATCAATATAGTGAGCCGTAACCGCCATATACCCTTTTTTTTGGTTGCTTGAAGTCCACATATCTGTGGTAATTTCCACTCTCCCTTCATGGTTATCTAACATCTTCATAGCACATTTTTTCTCAAAATCATAAACTTTCAATACCTCCTTCTTGATTGTGTTTCGAGTAGGAACTTTAAACAATGGTTGGAGAGAAATAAAGACTCTTCTAAGACCAATGTGATCCACAATTGATAGTGGATAATCGTGCATAATAATTGCTTCAGCAATCAACTTCTTCACATGTTCTGGATCATAAGTTCCAATTCCCAACTCTTGCTTTCCTTCTGAGATAGTCGGTAGGAGAAATGGTTGTCCTTTGTCATGGTTTCTAGTCTTGATCTTTTTTTGAATACAACTCAAGAGATGTCCTTTCAAGTGATTTGTTCCATTCTTTGAAGTGCCACTGAGTTGTTTTTTACACCAGATGCATTCAGCCTTATCTTTTCCATTCACTTTCATCTTTTTAAATTCTTTCCACACATTACTTCTAAGTTTCTTTGATGCAGGTTCTAAAATTGTATCAATTTCTTCTTGTTGCCCAATATCAGGTTCAGGTGTCGGATTCGGATTAGAAGATACCTCCTGAGTTGGACATGTACTTTCTTGTGTAGGATTAGATGCTCCTTCTGGTTCCGGGGTTGTGTTCACTTGATCCATTTTACCTACTACAAACAACAAGAAATTTCATAAACAATTGTATAAAAGAAAATGAGACTTTAAGAAGGCACGAAAAAACATACCACCACAAGATTCATAATCGCAAACACCTTAACATTCATACAAAGTTTAAAAAAGAAATTAAAATGATAAAAACTATTATTGATAAAAGCTATTATTAAAAGTAATGTTTTTACACGAGACAACATGGTTTTGTTTCAAATATGAAGTTATATCTCTCTTTTTCAACTGTCAAAGATTCACAGTCCAGCAGCAATGGGCTATGATCCGAGTGCGACGCGAGGAGATTCCACATGGTTTTGTAACAAAGAAACACAGTCAGTTCTAAGTGTTAACTGGTAATTATACTTGCCAAGATGTAATGCAATTTCTTATCAGGGACTATATAAGTTTACCTTCTTTGTTCAACATTTTATCATTGTAACTCCTACCAAAAGTTACTTTGGTACAGTTTGGATTACCTTGTAGCTCATGGGATCATTTCAATATAAGTAACTATGTAATTCTTCACTTAATCAATTATTTTTATAGTCTTAAGGGTTTATAGATGAAGTTAACTGAGAGTTTTTGAAAAATTTAATTGTTGAAGCTTATTTCAACCTTTACAAAAGCTACTGTTTCAAAATTGATAGTAAAATTCTTTTATATATTTTTTCATGAATGTTTGTGGAGAAGAACCATAAAGAAAACAAAAGCAGAGTTGCTCATGCTATTTTGTGAGAAACTTTAAAACTGAAGTTATCAAAAATACAAGGCCAAAGCAAAAGAAGAAAAACGGAACTTTGACATTATTCACTATTTGAATATATATGTAGCTTGCTTTTGTAGAGTTTACTAGTGCAGAACAGGGCTTAAATTAGTTAGTCTTCCTCAAGTGGGCCAAATATTTTCTTATTAGCTCTTACCTTGTGTCATTGCTATCGTGTAAGGTGTTATATATGATGCTTCACTAGTAACTTCACTTCAACCCATGCTTTTAAAAGGGAAGTATATATATTATTCTCAAAGAATGGACACAATACTTTCTACCTGTGTTTTTGTTTTCTTCTATTGGATCCATGGTACTCTCTTAAGTATATATTTTGTTGTGTTATAGATACAGGGAAGGTTGATTTAGTGATGAATGTGGTGGAACGTCCTAGTGGAGGATTTTCTGCTGGTGGCGGGATATCAAGTGGGTAAGTGGTGCGAGTCTAGAGCATGCTTAAATAATGCTTAAATTTAGTAAATATGCAAATTATCTCAACCTCCTTTACTTATTAAAAATTCTCCTTCAGCAGTAAATTCGGAAGTTATTGAAAATCTTCTTACTTTAAATTTCCGAAAGACAACCATCCCTTCATATGTTACCAGAGGGGAAATCAACACAGTTTTCTTTTTTCTTTGGTTAGTGTATGGTCTAACTAGCCGTTTACATTTGTAGGATTACAAGTGGTCCACGCAGAGGACTTATTGGAAGGTAAGCTTATTTTCTTGTCGTGTGGTGGGTGAAGTTAATGCTTTGTCTTTTAAAGCATTCTAAACTCTCTTTCATCAAATAGCCAAAATTACTCAACTTCAATTAAAACTGTTTTAAGGACTATTTACCTCTGCTGCTGGCTCCATATACGGCTAGTGCAATAAAGTGTTTATTCATGACATTGTTAAATATTACACATGCCCCTTATAGCTGTAAGCACACTGCCTACTGTTCACAATCTTACATCTGATAAAGCCGAGCCATATGAAGATTTTATATGATACTAACTTTACCATATCAGTTTATCAGTTCTTTACCTATTGTTTTATTTAATTCACTTAAAAATATAAGACTAGATAGTACACCAACGTTGTTATTCTATATTTGACTGGAAAAGTAGTCATGGGACAAAACAAACTAAGGAGACGAGACATAGAGAAATTGATAAACGCACTCACTATATAAGACTAGACAGTACACCCAAGTTGTTATTCTGTATTTGACTGGGAAAATAGACATGGGACATAACAAACTAAGGAGACGAGACATAGGGAAATTGATAAACGCACTCACTAGAGTAAGGGATAACTTTTCAAGTATGAGACCATTGAGAACATCTCAAGTTCCACATTGGTTAGACATAGAGCCTGAAAAAGGTTTATATAGAGTGACATCCTTCAGCTTGCAAACCGGTTTTGTAAGGTTGAGTTAAGGTCAAAGTTATTCCATTTTTTCTCTCCATCCTCACTTTCCACCCCTTCCCGACGAATTCCCCATCTCTTATCAAATCTCTTGGCCACACTTAGGTTCCACAGGCAAGTACCACCACTGTCTAATTAGAAATCTGGTGACTGATAATGGCATTCACAGCTCTTTCTCTTTCTGCCAAACATTTTCTCATATTCTTGTTTGGGTTGTGCTGGTGGCAATAGCCACACATCTGCTTGCAGACTATGAAGCACAAACACCAGCACGTCATTGACATGTTGATATCGGTAATGATTTATGAAAATGAATCAACCGAATGTAACCACACGTGTCGGTGTCGTGTTGGACACTGTAAACACCTTCGATAAAAAGCATCGGTGCTACTGAGCTTGTAGATGCTGCATGGACATCCTCATAAATGCCCCAACAGCTCCTCCACACCAGCAGCTGATGAAAGAACATATGAGAACAGAATGGGATGAAATAAGGAAGCATTGGTGTTTTAGAACTATCTAGTGTGATGAAAGGACCAACTCAACAAAGGAATATATCAACATATCATAATACATTTATAGTGGGAACCATTGACTTTTTCCAGGGTATGGATCTTGAAGCAAATGTGTCCATGATAGTTTACAAAATCGTATGATTTTAGTTTTATTAATAAAATATAAAAATATAATTTCCTCTCGTTCTCTCCCCTCAACTATAACAAACTCTCACCCTCTCTTTCTAGCGGAGACAGAAACAGAATTTCCTCTCGTTCTCTTCCACAACAACCTCACTCTCTCTGTCTTCTACACACAGTAACAAACTCATTCACTCTCTCTCACTTCCATTCTTCAACTCACCTCAACCTCTCTACCAGAAAAACTTCAAATTTTCCTTTGCACATTCATCGCGATATGGGGACGATTCTAACAGAATAACGAAAAAAATCTCTTTCTCTCTCAACATACATTTTCTCTTCTCTCATTCTCTCTCAATGAAACTATTCTCACCTCACAGCACTTTGAAGAGCTCCATTCAGTGCCAAAAATCATTACAGAATCTCACCTCAATCACGCTCTTGCGCATTCATCATCGTCATTGTTCAACGGGAGAAAGAAAAGCAGTTGTGGAATCAGAGAGATTTGAAGATTCTCTTGAGCTCTAAATCACCAACATCAAGATTCAAGTGGAGTTTGTAGAGTTTTCTTCCATGATACTAACGAATCTTCCAACATGTAAGTCTTCGAAAATCTCTCTCAGTATGCAAGATTCGAAAACTGAGCGCATAACTATGTATGAGAAGTTTGAAGTAACGTTCAAATCTACTTTCATGTTATGCTTTTCTTGACGAGTTTGAGTAAATAAACGTAAATGGATCTTAGATTTGTAACCTACGCGACGAAGCGAGCAGAACAATACCAGTTTTGTGAATTTTGGTTGAGGTTCGGCTAACTCCAAGGTATGCATTCATTTTGTTATTCCTGAGATATTTACCAGGATTTGATTCTTATGTCTGTTTTGTTGTGTTAACTTCTCTAGATTTATAATTTGGTTTCAGATTAGAAACATGGAACACATGATTCAGCATGAAACTCTGCCTCTAAAAGAAGAAAAGCAATTGATAAGGGTTTATTCTCCAATTAAAAGTTGATTCAACAATAAAAATAAACCGGCTGCCCCATAGTTTCTTGGTCATATTCTATGCAAATGAACACGGAATAGACGTCTACTTCACCGAAACTAACATGAATATCATTCGCCACAAATTCAATTGAAATCAAAACGAGAACAAATTTTCATGGTATAAATTTCAATCGAATTCAAACAAAACATGACAACAACTCAACATACACAAATAGAATGGCATCCGACACAATAAATTCAGCATAATCCAACACTACCACAGAATCAAACGTAGTTATATAAACAAATCAGCAACTCAGTTGAACAAAGTTGAGAGAAAACGATTATCGGGATGTTAAATTTGTCAGAAGAAGTGAAGTTGCTGTTTGTTGTTGAACAACGACGGAAGTAGGCGCGGAGAATTGATGAAGCTTGATAAGGATAATGAGGCTAGGCCGTTAGCGCACAGTGCAAGGAATTGTTGCGCACAGAGAAGATTGAAGGATGGTGCTGACGAAGAAAATAGAGGCGGATCTACCGTTATCGTTGACGTGCTGGATGCAGAGAGAGGGAGTTAGATAGAAGATGGTTATTTGATGATGGATGATGCAGATTGAAGGTGGATGATGTTACGGTGGGTTGGTGGGTGACAGTAAATCCAAACATACCCTGAACAATAAACCCTACAATACATTTTATTTTTAATTATTGAAATATATATATATATATATATATATATATATATATATATATATATATATATATATATATATATTTAGGGATAGTTTTGTAATTTAACATATAAGCGGGTGTGGTTTCGGGTTTCGGGTGCGGGTTTAAGCTATCCCAAACCCACACCTGAAATATCGGGTGGCACCCGAACCCGAACCCAAACCCAGTCAATTCGGGTTTCACCCGTTGACTCGGGTGCGGGTGGGGCCCGCGGGTTTGGGTCTGCTTGCCATCCCTAATAGTCCCTCGATGACGCTATCTTGTTGCCTAAACAAAATGATCATAGTCCCTCAAGAAAATTGCCAAAATACTTGACACTATTGCATTCATGGTCTAAACGATGACCCGCGCCCGTCCCGCTAACATCCTAACACAAGGTTGTTCACCAAATACAATGGTGAAACAACATTGTTAAAAGGGTTAAAACATAAGAAAGATCTTTGAGAAATTTTGGGTAGATAGCTCTTAGTTACTTGACCAAACTTGCAAAACAATCCTTGCCATTTTTCAAAACACACATCACAACTCAACTTCAAAACAAACTTTCAAAAACATTGAAACATCTTTTCAAAAAGACAAACACCCTTGTAAAACATTCAAACAATAATTGTTGCAATGGTTGCCTAGACAAGGCATCTTTTTCAAAACATTTTCAAAACCACACACACAAAGCACCATTTCAAACAATTGAAAAGCAAAAGCAAGTGATCTAAGCAAGTAACTAAGAGCCCATGGATAACCATGGATAGAAAGGGTGCTAATACCTTCCCTTTCTATAATCTACTCCCCGAACCCAAGAAAACATCTCAAAGGTCTTTCCTGTGCTTTTTGACCTTTCCTTAGGATAAAATAAAAAGTCGGTGGCGACTCTTGCTCAACCGAAACATTTGCGAACAAAAAACGCAAAACCTCAAGTCAGTTCTCCCACTGTATCACACTATCCAGTGATATTGAGCTCCTTAGAACCCGATTACTGTTTCTAGGACAGGTTGAACCAACTAAACTTCAAGAGGGTACTTACCTATGAAACCCCATGCAAGACTAAACTAGGAACTTGTTTGATTTGCTTGTACATATATACTTGTGCATAACATCATAAACATCATGAACATCATATGCATTCACTAACCATTTCAAGGATTTTGGAGATTCATCTTTGTTCTTGTTTTGTAGGTTATGGATTCACTTTGCAGGAAAACTATTCAAATCAACCTTGTAAGAATTCCTCCACAACTCAAGGAGCTAGCTTCAAGGATTCCTGAGAATTCTCCATTCACCGAGAGACATGGTTGTCTACTCAACTTGGTCACTTCCAACACAGAGGAGGATATGATGAAAGTTCTCTTCCAGTTCTTTGACCCTTTGCATCATTGCTTCACATTTCCTAACTATCAACTTGTGCCTACTTTGGAAGAATTCTCTCAACTTCTGAGGATTCCTATTCTCAATCAACTACCCTTCAACGGTACAGAAAGAGATCCAAAGCCATAAGAGATTGCTCAAGCCCTGCACTTTCACTCATCTGATGTCACAACTCATTGGGAAACTAAAAGTGGTGTCAAAGGCTTCTTGTCAAAGTTTCTGTTTGAGAAGGCCCAAAGTTGTTGGAATTCCCTAGAATTGCAAGCTTTTGAGGAGATTGTGGATCTTCTCATCTATGGGATGGTCTTGTTCCCTAATCCTGACCAACTTATAGATTTGAGCACTGTCAAAATCTTCATGTCTCGCAACCCGGTGCCTACATTGCTTGGGGATATCCTCCACTCTTTTCACACTCGTACAATAAGGAAAAGAGGTGTTCTCATGTGCTGTACTCCTCTCCTGGAAAGATGGTTTATTTCTCATCTTCCCCAATCAGTCTTGAAGAATGAGCAAGGTTTGAGGTGGTCACAAAGGTTAATGACACTTAACCATTCAGATATTCATTGGTGTTCTCGATCCAAAGAGAATGTCATCATTGTTGACCGTTGTAGGGAATTCCCTAATGTCCCTCTACTTGGCATTAGGGGAGGCATCACCTACAACCCTTGCTTAGCTCTGAGACAGTTTGGTTATGCCCGAAGGGATGGCCCACATGATATGTTGATTCAAGGATTGGTTTTCGACTACGACAACGACGACCAAGGACTCTGTCAGAGATTCACCCGAGCTTAGAGGATTCCAAACAATGTAGATAGTAAGACCTTGGGACACAAGAATTCCATCCCTCTTGAGCCTTACCTCAAGTGGGTACGAACCCGCGCCCAAAGTCTTATGATGCCTTATCCCTCCATTCTCCCAGTGATTATAGAGCCTGTTAAGGAATGATAGGTTCCATACACCATCCTACATCCTGACATGCCGACATCACTCGAAGACCTACAAAGGAGTTGGATACAGCTCAAGGGAGAGCGCGATACTTTTGAAACCCAATTCTATGCAAGAGAGAAAAAGCTTTTGGAACTCACTCGGCTACTTCATGAAGAGCAGACTCTCAACACCTACGTTGCACCAAAGAGGATGCGCAACGTCTTTTTACCTTAGAATCTTATATTATTTTGCCCAAGGGGAATTGATGTACTCACAATTATATCTTATTAATATGACGTATGTTTCCTTTTTTTGTTTAAAACAAATTTGAATTTCTAAATCCTTGAAAGCATTGCATGAATACATATCATTCATCATAAGCATAAAAAGGTCTCCACACCAAGTTTCCTCATCCTTCTACTGTTTATTTAAGCAAGATGGATCTTGAACAAACGGTCAAAGACTTACAAGCTCAGAATTCACAATTTCAATAGTTGCTCATGACCTTAGCCAAGGGGTAGGAGGAACTGAAGACTTTGCTAGAAAAATAAAAAGAGAAAAAGAAGAAGAAGCCAAATGGTGTGGTTATCATGGGTAGAAGATTTCAGGGACAAGCCAGAAGGACCTTAGAATCCTCAACAACATCTGAAGAAGGGGAAAGAAAAGGAAAAGAAACGGCAGTACCATCAGATTCTGAAGCAGAAGAAGAGGAAGAAGAGGACTAATCTGAACAATAATACCCTCCGGCTGATGACAAATACAAACATTTGGAAGAGCGTCTAACTGCTATGGAGATACAGAGAGTACCAGGGCTAGACTTTGAGGAGTTGGGGCTGGTATCAGGAATAATAATCCACCCAAAGTTTAAAGTGCCACTATTTGCCAAGTATGATAGGGTGTCTTGCCCTAAAATGCACCTCAGATCCTATGTCCGAAAGATTCAACCACATTCTGCTGACAAGGACTTGTGGGTCCACTTTTTCCAAGACAGTTTATCAGGAACGCAACTTGATTGGTTCTACCAGTTGGAGAGGGCTGATGTTCACAATTGGGAAGACTTGGCAGCAGCCTTTTATAAACAGTATCAATACAACGCTGATTTGGCACCAACCCATACTCAACTCCAGAGTATGGCTATGGTATCAAATGAGGGCTTCAAAGACTACGCCCAAAAGTGGAGGGATCTAGTCGGAAGGGTGCAACCACCTTTATCTGAAAGGGAGTTAGTAGACATGTTCTTGGGAACCCTATCAGGCCCTTTCTTCAATCACCTGATCAGAAGTTCTTCTGCAGGGTTTACTGAATTGATCTTAACCGGTGAAAGAGTGGAGGCTGGTATAAGAGGTGGAAAAATTCAGAAAGACGCATCTGCCTCTGCAGCTATAAAAAAAGCCCTTCAATAGAAAGAAGGAAGTGTCTGTTGTCTATTCATAGAGGAATCAGGGAAGAATCGAGCGCCGACCAACGGTGGGGGCCGTTATGATTCCGAAGCCTACATCAGACCAGCCAAGAAATAACCAGCAAAGGGTAGAAAGGCCAGTTCGGAAATTTACCAAGATTAACATGACTCCAGCTCAAGATCTACCACATCTTCTGAAGTTGAACCTGACCATGCTAAAAGAGGCCCCAAAAATCCTAATACTGCTTCTCCATATTACCATCCTAACGCCAGATGCGCGTACCATTCTGAAAGTCCAGGGCACGACACCAACAATTGTTGGGCTCTGAAGAATAAGATTCAAGATCTGATAGATGAAAAGGAAGTTGAGTTTGAAGCGCTTGAGAAACCAAATGTTATTTCCGCCCCAATGCCGAGCCATGGTCACAATGCCAATGCTATTGAAGAAGATTTGTTTGTTACTACCGTGGATAAACTATTAACTCATCTCCCGATTATCAAGTTGAATTTGTTGAAAGCTGGCATCTTTCTAGGTTGTGACCAAGATTGCCATGTTTGCCTATCCTCACCATTTGACTGCCCTCTGTTGAAGAAAGGTATCCAACGACTGATGGATAACCAAGAAATTTTGTTTGAGAATGCTCCTGTTTCACCCGTTCCAGTGAAATAAGTTTCAATAATAACCATCTACGCCAATCCTTCCAGAGTCCCTAAAAGACCCGTTAGGATTACATCTGCTCCAAAGACTGCTACGCTTAAGATTACAATTCCTGGGCCGACCCCATACAAATCAGATAAAACAGTACCATGGAACTACGGTAGAGAAATTTACTACCATGGTATTAAACAGATTGAATTGACTGCCGAAGAAGAAAGCTCCGAAGAGGACAGTCCCGACATTAGCAAAATTGTTGGAACTAGCAAGATCACCCACAGTGGTAGGATCTTCTCTCCAGAGATTTCTCCTCCAACAGCAGTCTTTGGACTCGTGGCTGTTCCGAAGATTACATATGTACCAGTGATTGTACCTGCAAGTGTACCCACCGATAAAGATAATACAATTCCTATCCCTACTTCCACTGCTGAGAATAAAGGAAAGAACGCTCAAGAGGAGCATGTCCAGACGAAGGCTCAATCACTAGCTATTCCTGAAACATC